CAAGATCAAAAAGTTGATGATTAGATTTTTCTTCATGCATAATATCATTGAGTTGCTGCTGTGTTTCGTAAATGTTTTCGATGAATGCATGTGTTCGATTATTATCAAGATGGATGTCAACAATTCGTTGCATTAATGAGTCCTTTTCTGCATGAAAGTTAAGTAATGTACGAAATGATTGATGTTTTCTAACAATCAGCTGAAGAGCCTGTCGAAGTTGTTGTATTGATAAAGTATGTCCTTTATTAAGACGGTAGAAAAAAGGCATATTGTAGATTGCAAGTTTTGGTTTATATGGATCAAATCGAACTCGTTCATCAAAACAAATGCGAGCTTGTGCATATGATGCTGGTGCTACAATCAATAATGAGATATTAATCAGTCATAACTGAAATTACGACTACATATTTCGATGATGTTGATGGCTGATGATGAAAGAATTTTACTGAGCTAACTGGAATGATGCATAAAACGTATAGAAAGTTGTAGAAAAACATCGAAGACCAGCTAACCTTGAAAGATTATAAACACAGTCAAGTCAGGCTATTGGAAATTATTTACAATAACAATTTTATTCAAATTCAGCATCGTTTTTAAATTATAAATTGAATTAGAAATATTAATATTTAGTTAATTAGTTTTTATGAGAATTTATGGAAGATAAGAAAGAAAGCTATTAACGCAGTCTCCGAATCTAAAATGCAAAACTTAAAATCATTGCGGTAACTAATAGAAAAAAAATCTCCTTAATAAATTAGGTGAAACCTATCTTGATTATAATTATCAATGTCTTCGCCTCATCAGACTTGCTTAAATTAAAACGTGTTTATTTCACGACTCTCTTCAATTTCCTTATAAACTAATGTTTCTTTTCAATCGATTTTCAGATATATTTACTAAATTTCATATTTTAGACTATGCTCGTTATAATATTGATCATATTTGTGGAGAAAAGAGAGATCGGTGGAAGTTTTTGCTTTTGTTTTAGAAACGCTTCTAGTTCGTGGTTGAGAGAAAAGGAGGAAGTAGAGAAACTTGATAGACAACCAACACACAATAATATATGGTGGTAGGGTATATATATCGTAAGGTAAGACATTATGTTAATTGTGTAGGCTAATCATAGGTTCAGTATCATACTCAAAAACTTCACAACTAACATCAATCTTAATTATAGAGGGTGTGATGGCGTGATTCATGTTCATAAAACAAGATTTTCTTATCATTTTTACAGATTATCTATAATAGACAATCTGCTTCTTTATAAACAAAAATAAAGAGGAAAAGATTTATACAAACGTACCTTCATTAACAATATTTTGTTGTCGAAAAAATACAGTATCCTCAATTTCTTGAGCTTCTGCCGGTAAAATTAAGTTAAGTTTCGATATAGATGTAATACTTGGACTAGTTTCATCAGAAATTGATGTTGGTGAAAAAAGTTGACTGACAAGATATTTTAATCGTTGAGCTACGATCATAGCTGTTGTCTCATCAAACAGATCACGTGAGCAGGTTAAACAAAATGATAGTTTACTATCATCGGATGTTGGATTGTAAAGACAAGTCAACATAAAATCAAATTTAGCAGCACCATAAGATTGCTGCATTGATAATTGTTGCAACGTTGCTGAATCAATAGACCATTGGCTCTTTTCGGAGAGAGTGATAAAATTGAACGATGTTTCAAGAAATAGAACACTTAACTGTTTAATTTGAGAGTCAGTAAGAATGTGTTGTAGTGGATAATGAGAATGTTCAAGAACTGATAAACATTTTTCTCGCACATGTTCAATAAGGTCGCCAAATGACCAATCAGAATCAATTTGAATACGATATGGTAATGTTGAAACAAACATTCCAATCATATTCTGTAATTCAGTCCTGTATCGATTTGCATTATGACAAGAAATACATAAATCATTTTGACCATATGTTAGTTTGAAGAGAAATGTATAGAATGTAGCTAGACATAGTTGAAATGGTGTAACTTGATGTGAAGATGCATAATCGAGAAATGATGCCGCAGTCTCATTATCAAATGAGGTATGAGCAATGGAAGCATATCCAGATCGTTCATCACTATCTAAACAATGTCGATCAACTGGTAGTGTCAATCGACACTCTTGATTGTATCCATTTAGTTGAGAACGCCAAAACTCACGTGATAGTGTCATATCGATTAGATGCTCATGGACACTATAATCAATATATTGTAATGATTCTTCATCATCTAACCACGCCGCGTTACTATTGTAAATATTACAAAGATCATTTAAAAAAATTGAGCTACTTAATTGATCGATTGCAGTATGATGAAAGCCGATAACGAGAACATCAGAATTTATAACCATTTCCTCATCATTATTTTCATCCGATATCATGTGTTGTCTGAGAATTTGACAATAAAAAACACGACCACTTGATAAATCGAACAAATTAGGATTAGTATTTATTTCTGAAATAATGTTGTGAAGTTCAGTTTCACTCTTAAATTTTAGATCGGCATCCAATGTAAATGTGAGATGTTTATCAGTGATAGATTGTTTTAAAGTACTATCATCATCATTGAAAACTACAGACGTTCTTAATATCTTATGTTTGCTCAGGACACAACGAAGTGCTTGTAATAAACGATTCACTAATAATGAACCGTTTGTAACTTGTAGAACAATTAGCTCATTGTAAATGGCAATTTGGCCAGAGAAACGAACTTGTTCATCAAGAAATATGCGTTCTTGAGCATACGATGCGATACCTATAAATTAGCAGAAAAATATTGTATCCTGATGCGGAAGTGCTTCTATATGCCTTACATTGGTTAATATGTAATGTTTGCCATTGCTTTGTTTGTATATTATTGTTTCTAATATTTTCTAGTAGTTTTGCATGTTCGGCTATGGTATTGTGTTCAAAGAATGGCCGAGTATTTATTGTTTCGCCATCAAAATTAAATAACGTTCGATAATATTGATAGATTTGAATAAATAGGAGAGAATGACCACCGATACTAAAAAAGTTTGTTCGCGTCGAGATTCGATTACGATCAAGAACCTTACACCATACCGAATGAACAAGCATTTCGAGTTCATTTTTCGGTTCTAAATATTGACGATCAATAGCATTAGTCGATAGAACCGAGATATCAGATATTGGAAGACGCTGTCGATCGAGTTTTCCATTCGCATTCAAAGGTAATTGTTCCAAGAAGACGAAGATAGATGGTATCATGTATTGATGAAGATATTTATTGCAATAATTTCGAATTTGTTCAGTATCGAGCTCGGATTCTTTTGAGACCACATATGCGACAAGTAGATCATCATTTTGTGCTATTTTAGTGACAACACAGTCAGAAATCTTGCCAGGATACGAATTCGTAATTGTATTTTCTATTTCAGTTGTTTCAACACGTTGACCACGTATTTTAATTTGAAAATCAACACGTCCAGTATAAACAAGCTCTTCTCGTGTATTATATCGAGCTAGATCACCTGTTTTCATATAAACTTGATTATTTATGATCGTAAACTTCTTTTTGGTATTTTCAGAATCATTTAAATAGCCGTTGAATAAAATTGGTCCTTTTAAAAAATACATAATATAAAAGAAAACGATTGGGATGGATACTACTCACCTCCTATATGAATTTGACCAATTTTACTTGAATTATTTGTAGTATTAATAATTTTGCCATCATCATCGATTAGCAAACATTGTATAGTTGGGAATGGATATCCAATAGGAATATCTGTATCACTGATATTTAGCAATCGACATCCAAGAACTCCACTACTTTCAGACGTACCATATATAACACAAAGTTGAACATTGGAAGAACTTAACAAATTAACAAATTGAGCCCACTGTTGTGATTTCAATGGTTCGCCTAAGTTATGCAAGACAAGTAAAAAATAAGATGTCAAAAATAGATCAAAAGCTTATCATTACCCGATGTACACAGATGGCGCACAGTATCGAATGTTTTCGTTTGCTGGGTATTTTCAATATAATTAGTAAGAGCTCGAATTATTGCAGGACCTATTATTAGCGTCGTTATTTGTTGATGCATTAGAGTTTGAGAAAAATAGGCCACATCTAAATGACCACCTGGTCGCAGAAGCACAAGAGTGCCACCAACGACTAATGGTAATGAGAATTCCACAATATGTGGAATCCATGAACATGTAGCAACTTGAAGGACGTGATCTCGAGCGGTATATACACCGACGTTCCATTGAATAAAAGCAGCAATATTAGCTGAGAAACTTTTATGTGTATGGACAGCTGCTTTTGGTTGTCCAGTGGTACCTGAAGTAAAAATAATGAATGCAGCACCATACTCCTTAAAAACTGGAAGATCATTCGCATCCTCGATAGTTAATAATGGAGAAAGAATATTGTCTAATATAATAACATGCTGAACAGTTGCTATTGGAAATTGATTACGAGTTTTCTCATGTACTAAAACATATTGACCTTGGATTTGTTCGAGAATTATATTGAGACGATCAGACGGTATTGCTGGATTTATTGGACAATACACTCCACCTGAATATATGATGGCCAAAAAGCCACATATCATTTCAAAACTTCGTTCAACGAATTGATAGATTATTTGACCTTGAACTACACCTAAGTGATGTAATTGATATACAACGCGTTCTACTTGCATGGCCAACTCGCTGTAAGTCCATACCTGGTCGTCAAGCACTATTGCTACCTTCTGAGGATATAACTGTGCAATATTAAATAAATTGCGTATTGTATAGCATGACGTTGTCATATTTGAATTAATTTGCTGAAAATTAAAATTGAAAGCTTAATCTAGAAATAATCGAATAGTATTTTGCGCTTCTATGTTCTGATTAGATTTCTTTATTACAAGAGAGGAAAAAGATCTTATGTAAAAAAAACTGATGCCGTTTCATCCAGTTCTACGTCTGATGATGATCCAATTTTGTAGAAAAGAAACTGAAATTTTTTGTAATGTGGAAAACTTAGTGTGTGTAACGTTTGGAACGGAGCCAGTCAATAGTTGGTTTTAGTGCTTTGAAGAGAAGTCCATTTTCATCCGCGGTGAGAGCTGCATTGACACAAGCAATTTGTTCGTCCAGTGCATGTTCACCATCATCCCAGATGTACGGGCGCTCTTTGCTAATAGGTACATTTATGATTGATCTAATCGCTTCGTACACCGGTCGAGTCTTGCTTGAAACCAATGGGCGAGCATCATAACCGCCTTCTTCGTCAATCAAGTTGGCTCGTAAATCAAGTGCTTGGACACAAATTAAGAGACATATGCTTAAGTGTTGACTTAAACCGGAAATTGATTTTCGAGCAAGACATGCAGACATATGACCCATTGAGTTAATATTTTGATTGTATTGTTCAGCATGTGTTGGAAACTTATCGGCCATCGGCGTACCAAGAAAAAGTAAATAAGGCATAATAGAATTGCCGGTGATTTGTAGAGCCTTGACACCAATATTTACTTCTCGAGCACGATTACCAATGAGACAACTGGGCAAACCGTTATTGAATTCAGGAGTTACCATTTGAGCAATTTGCACATCTAAGTGTTTCGCCATAAGACCGACAGTTTGTCGAAGTCGATCCATAGCTATGGCAACATGTTCACCGAGAAAATTGCCACCACCTGTATATGATAATAAAAAGATTGTAAAACGTGTCGATTGATTTAGTTGTTATCAAAATGATGAACACTACAGTTTATGACTAAAAAAGATACATACACACACCCAGATTCCGATAAATTCTAAGGACTCTCAACAATTCTTTAGAATTTCCTCAGATTCATCAGGGTTCTATAGAATTCCAAAACATTTTCTAAGAGCCCAATATTCGACTCTTTTCCTCTTGGTAAAATACTGCACAGTTCCAATTCAATTTTATTCTGAAGAAGACAAGAAATAGAATGAGTTTGATACTTACAGTAAACTTTGCGGGTATCGACATCAATTAGTGGATTGTCATTGGCAGAATTCATTTCAATTTCAAGTATACGAGCAATGTCATGTAGTGTTTCAAGCATTGGACCAAGAAACTGTGGACAACATCGTAATGAGTATCGATCTTGGATTAGTGCTTCTATGCTTCGTTTTGTCAGTTTACCATCGAGTGCATCATAAATCATTTTTGAGCCATTAGATAAATCGAGTATTATGGCTGCTACATCGATCTTCAATTAAAAAAATATAATTAGTATCATATTCGATTTCTTTCATAAGTGGATGCGTGCTTGTTGTTTTCAATTACTATTGTTGATATTTCAATGTTTTATGAACATAAGCTGAATTTTTTTAAATATTTTTGCTGGCTACTCTATTTCTAATGAAAGTACATGATCTCACACGAATAAAAATTTAGATGATTTCTTGTTGAATAAATATAACGAGAAGTCTGAAACAATTCCATCTGAATTTCTATTATATAGTTCTAGTATAATATACTTTATACGAAACCTGATGAGGAACTATTTCAACTGATTTCAAGTTTTCGCCTTCAGCTTTTAAGTGTAAAATGGCTTCAGTAAAACTAAGAAAACTCTGGAAGTGTTCATCATTATGGGTATCTGGAGTCGAGTTACTACACTATGAAAAAAGACAGTACATTAATATACCCTAAAGAGTTTATAAAACTGCAACGTATAAAATACTCTTCGTACGGTTTATGGAAAGCAAAACGGTATTTGAAGGGGCTTATAATTGTACTGTCTTTCTTTTTACAGTGTACCGTTATACAGACTTTCCGGCAAACTTCTAGATAGACACTGGCGAATAATGCAACTAAATTTTAATGTAAAACTTTGCTCATATATAGATATAATGCATCCTATATTACTCTCAACACTTCAGCTCAAAGTAATGTTTCTTTTTCAAGATGTTCAAGTTTTAAAAACGACTCATATACTTCAAACGCTCCTAAGAATGTTTTGTTTTCGAGAATTCAATATCTTGAGAAGCCAACGGTGTGTTGAGCTGAAAATTACAGAATGTTTTACTAATAAACAGGCCTATTGGTGGGCATACTTTCAGGTCTAAATGACAGGATTCAAATTTTTGGTATATGCCATGTTCTAGACTAAAATATTTGTGAAATGTTTGTAATTCCGAGCAGAAAATTTTAGTAGATCTCATACTTTTGACACTCTCTATATATTACTAGTCTTCATTAAATGCGTAAAGTTCGAAATCAAAACAGTTTGGACAGTTAGAAATATTCTCCTGCTAGATTACTTTAAAAATTTCAGTCGAAAGGAATGATTCTTCACACAGATATTGGATCTATCTATGACTAAAATTTTAGATTGAAATTTAGTTTTATGATTCTTCAATGACTAGCTAGAAGTCTGTCAAAATTTCTATATAACGATAATAACTCAGCTCTAGAGGCCAATGAATATGATCACTTCTTGAGTTTCTTTAGTGTCACTGAGGCTGAAAGTTAGAAATTAGTTGAATAGTTCTCTTGTACAGTGTGGAGTGTAGAGTGTGTCGCCATTTTAACGCGTTATAAGTGAGAATTATATGGGCAACACAGCGTATCTTAAGTTTTTATAGCGAGCATGAATCATTGGCGGATCTAGGATTTGTTTTCATAGAGTGCGATTTTAGTCAGAAAATAAGTTTTGAAGTTCATTGAAAGTAGTATTGCCTCATTTTTGGGCAGTTTTCGCTGAGAGAAATAAAAAAATCTTTTTCGGACTAAACCACCTACACCCTCAAGACAGGCTGTTGTGGCCATTCCAAATAGTCTGAACGAGATTGATTAAGTCACTTGTTACGCCCCTTAACATAATCTGACAGAATTTTGCGACTGGCATGCTAGAAAAATCCTTCAAAGTGTTTGCGAAAACTATCATAATTTATCTGGCTGTCTAATAGATTGACGTCGAACTTTTTAAGATTTACCTGTCCTTGATGGCCTTTGACTTTCTGTAAAAATGGATGAAATGGTTGGTTACTACCGGTTAGTGCTTGAAGAACCATGGCGTGGACGTGAAGAGTAGCAGCCATCAATGTATAAAGATCATAACAGGCCAATGAAGCTGATGCTGTCATAACACTCGTTCCATTCAACATAGCTAAACCTTCTTTCGGATGAAATCGTTTTGGTTCATATCCAAGTCTAAGTAAAGCTTCAGGCGCACTGATTGTTTCACCTCGAAAATCGACACGAAGTGTTTCATCTTGTCCAGAAATAGCAGAGGCAATATAAGATAACGGAACGAGATCACCAGATGCTCCTATTGAACCAAATTCGGGAACCAACGGAGTTACTCCTTCTGACACGAATCGTACTAATCGCTCGTCCCACAATTGACGGATTCCGGAAGCACCAATAAGATGAGCGTTGGTCCGTAAAATCATGGCTGCTCTAATCGACTCTAGTGGCATAATGGAGCCAACGCCAGCTTTGAGAGCCCGAACCAAATTATTTTGTAGTTCCTCAGCAAACTCCCTGCATATAACTCGGTTAGCAAGACCACCAAACAAGCTCGTAACTCCATAAAGAGGTTGTGATCCATTTACAATCTCATCAATGATGGCGACCGATTCTTCCATTCGACTACAAATATTGACGTCACTCGATAATTCAGCATTGCAGTAATGTCGAGCAATTTGTACCAATTGTTCTAAAGTGAGATCCTTACCTTGGATGACGATCGATTTCAGTGTTGCTTCCTGATCATGTTTGGATGACATTGTACCTTTAGTGTACGCTTTCTGATGAGACGATTGTGTGTCAGACATATTTGGGTTTTAAGACGACGACGGTATATTGAGTAGTATGAAAAAATTGTTAACTAGCACAAATACAGTTCAGATACATCCAGTGAAAAAAAGGAGTAAATCATGAAAATCTTTTTTTTATATATGATTTAATAGAACTCGTCTAGCTGATCACAAGCACCACCTTTTAACTCATTTGTGATTGATTCTTTTTGGAAACAAAATCAATCACAAAGAGATTAAAAGGTGATATTTGTTGTCAGCTAGATGAGTTCTATTGAATCATATATAAAAAAGGAATTTCATTATGCTTGTTGACCACAAGACTTTTTCAGCCTTCTTACCAATTGTTTATTGTTGATCTAGAAAGAAAAATTGAAATTTTTATATTATTCTAGTAATAAGTATTTTGTGCCAGACTGATTCTTGTTATTATCTATCAATCTATCTCATATCAAGGAACTCATTTTGAACATCATTAGATCTAAACTTAAAGAAGATATGAGCGATCATGTATGGGTGTTGTTCTGGATGTGGTTGTGATGTAGAGACGATCAGTAGCCGCACCCACACCCTCAAGAACCACTAGCCATAATAATAGATAAAATACCAATAAACTATAATATAATAATAATGAATTAATTACATAGAAAATAGTTCGTTTTATAAGGTAACTCACCATTGATATGCTACGGTCTATACATTGACAAACAACATTACTAGGAATATAATTTGAATTTGTTAGAAATTCAAGAGATAAACATTGTGCATAATATAGTAATTCATTATAAGTAAGAGATTGTTCATCAAGTTCTATGGCTATCTTTTGTGACTGCTTATCTACTTGCTGAATAAATTCATGTTGTATACAATGAGTAGATGAAGAAAATAAAGTTTGAGTATTATTAATTGATTCCATAAGAATCTTTTCATTAGGTAATATTACTGAAGATTCATGAATCGATTGACAAGTTTCATTTACTAAATCTGATGTGAAAAGTTGTTGAAGTAAAATTTGAAATCGTTGTCCAATTTTATATGTTGTTGATGGATTGAATAAATCAAGAGATGCCTCGATTGAACATGATAATTGATCGGTTATTGTATCATGTATAATACTTAGAGAAAAATCAAATTTATTTGCAATTTCATCTGTATTTATTTGAATTGAATAAGGCATAGTATAAATAGGAACATCTCCTAATGTCACTTCATCATGATTATCTTCAGTTGGAAACGAAACAAATGCAAAGAATACATTAAGAAATGTAGGACGAGAAATATGTGAATGTTGAGCAAGAATACGTTGAAGAGGAAAATAAGAATGTTCGAATTTTTGTGTTGCTATTGTTTGTACACGTTTTACAAATTCATGAAATGAATGATTAGAATTAATTTGACATCGCATTGGAAGTGCATTAACAAACATTCCAATAATTGACATTAATTCAGGTTTCGAACGACCATGATTATTCATAACAATACATATATCATTTTCATTATTGGCTAATTTAAATAAGAATGTATAATAAGAAGCAAGTGCTAAATATTCAAGTTTAATATTATATGTTGATGCATAAATTAGAAATGCTTTTGAAAGATCATTGTCAAATTGAAATGAAATTGAAGTTCCACGACCTGTACGATGCTCATCGGAAACACGATGTCGATCAAATGGTAATTGTAAAGGTCGATCGATTTCACAATCACGAAGAGCATCAAGCCAAAAAGCATTGGCAGCTGTCATTGGCATTTGTTGTTCAACCACAGCATCTTAAATAAAATGAAAAGTATGTTAATAGTATAAAATATAAAAACAATAAACAAAATAAGTTAACATACAATCAAGATCTTGACGAAATATTTGCGTTGATGGAAAATCAAATAATGCATGATGAAAATGAAAGATTAGTGCATCTTTTTCACAAATGATTCCTTTTTGAGAAATGTTTTTATAATTAAACAACATGACATCGACAAGCAACACCAATTAATAGATTAAAATTATTTGGATTCCCACGTTCATTATGCATAATGATATTGAAATTTTCATCTGTTTCGAAAGTACTTTCAATAAATGTAAATAATTCTTTATTATCAGTATGATCAATAATTTTTTACATTAATATATTTTTATTTGTATCAAAATAGAGTGATGTACGAAGAGCAGAATGTTTTATCAGAACATGTTGTAAAGCTTGACGAAGTTTAGATATTGATAGAGTACCAGCTGATGAAAGTCGATGAAGAAAAGGCATATTATATATGGCAACTTGAGGATTTTCTGAATCAAAACGAATTCGTTCATCAAGCTAAATACGTGCTTGAGCATATGATGCTGGTGCTATATAATAATAATAAAAACATTAAAAGATGAATATACTTAATTCTAATGGGAATGAGTAAGGATGCAGGTGTCAATCCTGTACACGTATATTTCTATCGTCTAATAATTTTTTCAAATACATTAAAGACATATTTACTTTCATTCATAGTATCTGGTTGTTGACAAAAAATTATTTGATCCATTTCATAAACTTCTTCTGGTAAAATAAGACTAAGTTTAGTAATAGGTGCAACAAGACTATCAGTTTGATTAATATTAGAATATATTAAAAATAATTGTTCAGTAAGTTCTTGAAATCGTCGAGCAATTTTTGTAACTGTCATATCTTCAAATAGATCATGTGAACAAACAAAGCGACATGATAACGTATCATCATTTGACATTGGATTGTAAATAAATGTTAATGCAAAATCAAATTTAGGAATTTCAATGGATTGTTTTAATTCAATTGGTTTTAAATTGACATCATCTAAAGATAGCTGGTCAATATCAGGAGATCGAGTAATAAAATCAAACACTGTTTGAAGAAAAGAAACATTAGATTGATTAGCATGAATATCAGTTAGAATATTTTATAATGGATAATGAGAATGTTCAAGAATTGATATACATTTATCTTGTACTTGTTTAACAAGTCCATTAAATGACCAACTAGAATCAAGTCTCATACGATATGGTAATGTTGAAATAAACATTCCCATCATATTTTGTAATTCAGTTTTATGTCGATTTGCATTATGACAAGAAATACATAAATCATTTTGATCTTGAGTTAATTTGAATAGGAAAACATAAAATAATGCCATACCTAATTGAAATGGAGTAGTTTGATGTGTCGAAGCATAATTAACAAATGATTTAGAAATATTTTTATCAAAAGAAATCTGAGCAATTGAAGCAAAACCAGATCGTTGATCATTAGATAAACAATGTTGATCAGTAGATAATGATAATCGATGCTCAAAATCATAGTCTTTCAATTCTAGAAGCCAAAATTCACGTGATGGTTTCATATCAATTAAACGTTCATGAACAGAATAATCAATATATTGTAATAAATCTTCATCACCTGTCCATTTCACATTTATATTATAAGCAAAACAAAGATCATTTAGAAAAAGTTGATAAGCTGACCGATCTGTTGCAGCATGATGAAATGCGATAAGAAGAATATCAGAATCTGTAATGAATCTAGTATTATTATTATCAGATATGAGTTCTTGTCGAAGTACTTCACAATGAAAAACACGACCAGTTGATATATCAAATAAATTAGGACTGATAATTGTTTGATCGAGAATATCTTGAAGATCATTTTCATTTTTAAATGTTTGATTGGGAACAATTTGAAATATATGATGTTTATCACCAATATGTTGTTCAAGAATACCATTATCATAGTTGAGAGTAAGAAATGTGCGTAATATTTTATGTTTATTTAAAATATATTCAATAGCTTCTAATAGACGATCTATTGATATTGAACCTTGAATAATTTCTAAAGCAGTCAATTCATTGTAGGTAGTGGTTTTATTAGAAAAACGCATTTGTTCGTCGAGAAAAATACGTTCTTGAGCAAAAGACGCAATACCTTGATTGATATGTAGTGTATGCCAATGTACTGATTTCATTTGATTGATTGTAATAGATTGAAGTAATTGTGAATGTTGAAGAATAGTTGGTTGTTGAAGAAATAAGGCAATAGAAAGTACACGATTATCAAAATCATATAATTGTTGATATCGATAATAAAGTTCAATAAATAAAAGTGAATGACCACTAATACTAAAGAAATTTGCAGTTATTGAAATTTGTTGTCCAATACATCCAAGAATTTCACAACAAATATCATGAATCTGTTTTTGTAATTGATTTTGTGGAAGATTAGATCTATTTTCTAATGCTGTTGCTGCTGATGATGAGAGAGTTGATAATGATAAATCTGGTAGTGGAAGACGTTTTCGATCAACTTTTCTATTTGGACTCAAAGGTAATTTTTCAAGTATAATAACTATGGATGGAATCATATGTGATGGTAGATTAGATTGACAATGATGACGTAATTGTTCAACATTAAGGTTATCACTTTGAACATAAGCAATAAAATGATTATCATCCCATTTGATAACGACACATGTAGTAATGGATATTAACATAAGTAAGCATTGTACAATTTCTTGTAATTCAATACGTTGTCCACGTAATTTCACTTGAAAATCTCTCCGACCAACATAATGAATCAGTCCATTGCTATCCATTTGAACAAGATCACCTGTTTTATAAAATATTTGTTCATTAATATTAATCATTACTTGAGCTGTTAAATCATCACGACCACGATATCCAGCAAAAACACCAACACCTCCAACAACTAATTCTCCTTCTTGTCCAATACCAACAGTTTGTAAGAACATGTCTAATATTAAAAAATGATAATTGGGAAGAGATTGACCTATTGGAATATCTGTTTGATCTTTATTTAGATCAATTAGATGATTGGTACAATTAATAGTAATTTCAGCTGGACCATAATGATTTCGAATTCGACATTCCCCTATGATAGAATAATTCGAAAAGAATATGATAATATAACAGTAATTCTAAGAATAAGAATTACTAACCATTGCACTGACGATTTTCGATTAGTAGTATTGAGAAAATTAAATAGATTATTCCATAAAGATGGAACAGCATGCATAACAGTAATCTGCTTTTCATTCAATGCTCCTGCAAGATAATCTAAATCCATATGACCTTCTGGTCGAAGCATTATTAATGTAGTTCCAATAGTTAATGTACCAACAAGACTTAATAGATGATTATCAAAAGAACGTCGAGCCATCTGTATTATTGTATCAGTTTTTCTTAATATATCAGCATAAACAAATGAGCGTAAAAATTGAGTGAAATTTCGATGACTTAGTTGAACCTATCAAAAAATGAATACATTAAAAAATAAAAATAGTAAAAAAAAATTATACAAACCGCTTTCGGAATACCAGTTGATCCACTAGTAAAAATTACAAAGAGAATATTTTCTGATGTTATTGGTACATCTGACATTTGAATCAGATGAATACTAGTAGAATTTGCTTCATTATTTATAATTGTATCAATATTTAAAGTTACAATATCGATTTCAAAAAGAATGCGTGTAGATGAATGAACAAGAAATAAATGACTTCGAGTTTCTTTCACAAGAATTTGTAGACGTTGTGACGGATCTTGTGATGATAAAGGACAATAGGCACCACTGGCCATAATAATTAATAAAATGCCAATGACCTAAAGAGAAATAAAGGATATATTATACACATTTTATTGCACACCATATTTTCTAAATATATTTACCATAGATAAACTTCGCTCTACACATTGACAAATAATATTACCCGATTTCACATTGTATTTATTTAATAAGACGAGAGAAAGTTGTTGAACATTATAGAAAAGTTCTGTATATGTTAATGATTGTTCATCAAGTTCAACAGCTATTTTTTGTGGATGTTGTATTACGTCATAAATAAATTCATGATGCATACAAGTGGCAGAAGGAAACAATACTTGTGTATTGTTCATTGATTGTATAAGTAATCTTTCATTTGGTAATGCTAATGATATTTCATAGATTGATTTATTCTTCATTTTAACATTAACAGATGTAAAGAGATCATATAATATTGAATGAAATTGTTGTGAAATCTTATTTATTGTCTCTCGTGATTGAATAAATCGAGTGATGCATTAATTATACATGAGAATTGATTTATGTTAAGATCATATTGAATAGTAAGAATGAAATCAAACTTGCTTACATCTTCATCTTCATTTATTGTAATTGATAATGGAATACTACAAAGTTCACTATCACCAATCATTATTTTCTTCTCAATAGTCACAAAATCAAAAGATATATCAAGAAATGTATGCTTTGAACAATCAAAATGTTGTGCAAGAATATGTTGAAGAGGAAAATATGAATATTTCATACAATTTATTGCCATTGCTTGAACATATTCAACTAGTTGATGAAATGAACCATCACGATCTAATTGACATCGTAATGGAATAAGATTTTTATATAATCCAATTATTGATTTAAGTTTATCTTTATATCGGGTATATGTATTCATTCCAATACATATATCTCTTTCTCCATTAGTTAACTTAAATAAGAACATATAATAAGCGGCAAGTGCTAGATGTTGAGGTTCTATATTGTTTATTAATGCATAGTTAAGAAAATCATATGAAAGATCTTGTCCGAAATCAAATGAGATCGATGTTCATCCAAAAGACGATGCTAATCATATGGTAATGATAAAGATCGATCAAGATTACAATCAAGAAGAGGATCAAGCCAAAACATACTTGCACTAGTCATTGACATTTGTTGTTCAATAAGAACATCTAAATAAAAAAAAAGAAAAGAGATAGGATTTATTAACAAAGACAAATATGAGAAATACATACAATCAAGATAATGTAGATCACGATTATGCTTGATATGTGGTTGATTTGTTATATATGCTTCATTGAGATCATGAAGAAATATTTTCATTGATGGAAAATCAAATAAAGCATGATGAAAATTGAAAATAATTCTATTTTTATCACAAAGAAGATTATTTGAAGAAATTTGTTTACAATAGAGAATGTGACATCGAAAGACAAGACCTTGATCAAGATGAAAAAGTTGAGAATTGTATTTCTCATCGTACATTATAGTATGAAGTTGTTCATCTGTTTCGAAAGTACTTTCAATAAATGTAAATAGTTTTCTAGTATGATCATTGATATCAATAATTCGTTGTATAAGTTTATTTGTTTCATCATCGAAAATAATTGATGTTCGAAGTGATTGATGTTTTGTAAGAATGAGTTGAAGTGCACGGTGAAGTTGTGTAGTTGATAATGTATGTTGCGAATGAAGACGATAGAGAAAAGGCATATTATTAATTGCAACTTGTGGTTTATCTGGATCGAATCGAATTTGTTCATCAAGCCAAATACGAGATTGTGCATAAGAAGCTGGTCCTTAACAGAACAAAGACTATATAAGATACAAATCTATACAAATAAGCACACCTTCATTCTTAATATTAGGTAATCGATGAAAGATTGTTTGTTGTA